TTATATTAAAAAAGTCATAAAATAATATATAAATTTATAATACAAAAGCAAAAAAAAAAAACTACGTCATGTTGGTGCGAAGATACTCGTCGGGCGGCTGAGTTCCGGGCTGGGTCAACCGGTTGACCCGAGAGGATGTTGCCGCATTCCGAGAGCCGCTCGTCTTTCATTTAGCGCTCTCTGCATAAGCGGGCTATCGGTGGCCATGATGTCCAACAAATCCTCAAGTGAGTCCAAACGCTCCAGCTGGGACCGGATCTGAGACCGCATCTGAGAAGTTTCATCATCCCGTCGTGAAGTGTACGAAGAAGTTGCCCTTGGAACTTCGTTAACGGAGCCTATTCGCACCGTCCTTCCCTTCTTCCTAGGAGCCTCCTTGTTTCAAAAAAGGTTATAATTAATATTGAAATATCAATTAATAAAATAGAATCAATATAAACAAATTAAAATTTATTCAAAAATTTTACCTTTTCGAAAATCTGGTCAACTTCTTCTGTAGTCAATGTGACGGGGGACCCATCGGGAGCTTTCTGGGTTAGTTGTGTCTGCCGCTCCTCAACCGGAGAAACCACATCGTTATAGAGTCTCTCGGAACGTGGATCCACAAAAACTCCATCTGGTGTGGCGTGAGTCATCCTGAATAGCTCAGTCAGAGATGGCATGACTCCGGTATTCTCGGCCTACAAAAAAAATAAAAAAGTTAATTTTTTTAATTACTTAATTAGCAAATAATTAAAAAAAAATATTAAAAATAAAACTTACAACATCCTTAATTAAATTGTTTTAGTATCATGTTTATCATCAAAATCTTTATGTTTTAAATTATTATTAAATAATTTTTAAAATTTTCTTTTTTTTCTTGTGATTTTAAAAAAGAAAACATTATATTTTATAAACTCTTTTATTTATAACTTAAAAAACAAAAAATACTGTCAAATACTGTTTTACATTTTTGTTTAAGATTTTAGAAAATAAAGATTACTATCATACAATCATTTACATTTGTCTACTATTTATAATTACCAAAAATTAGATTACTATCAGATAATTATTTCAATACTATTAAATATTTTATTACCTACTATTTTTACAGTTAGGGTTTTAATTAAATATATTCACAATCAGACATAAGTAATAGATTATTATTATCTTAATTAGTAATAGATTGTTACTTAATGTCAATATATTTAATATATTTAATGAAAAGAACATAAGTAATTTGAAATCCAAAAAACAAACAGAATAACTAATTTTATAGCGTCTATAATACAAACACACAAAAGCATAATAGGCACGTTAACTTATGTACAATATGAAAACATATATACTACATACAAACACCTAAGTATAACTATGACAATAACTAACGTACAACAATATGACAAATATAACAACAATAAAAATCAACACCAATTTAAGCATAAAATAACATAAAAAATCTTTCAAATAATTATTCTACAATATTATTTCTTTACGATTTGAAAAATGGAAGACTACTGTTAGACACTCTTTTATAATTTTTTTATATTCAAGATTTTAGAAAAAGATAATTAGTATCAAATATTTTGAGGAAAAGATAATTAGTATCAACTATTTTTAGTATCAAAAAGATAATTAGTATCACCAATTTAAACATAAAATAACATAAAAACTCTTTCAAATAATTATTCTATAAATATTATTTCTTTACGATTTGAAATATGGAAGACTACTGTTAGACACTCTTTTATAATTTTCTTATATTCAATATTTTAGAAAAATATAATTAGTATAAATTTTTTTAATTACCATTTCTTCATTATTTTAGAAAACAAAAATTAGTATCAAATAAATTATTTTGCAATCTTTATTTGTTTGAAATTTTGTAAAAGAAAATGGTTTAGAAAATTGCTATTAAAAATTGTAAAACATTATTTTTATCTGTAAAATCATTTTCATTTTCTTCGTATATATATTTTGTTAATATGATATATTCTTACATATATAAAATTTTAATAGGAAAATTACTATCAAATAATTAGTATTTTAGAAAAGGAAAATTGATAATAATCTATTTGACGAATATTTTGCAGAAAAAATTGAAAAAAATATTTCCTATCAAATAATCTTTCACAATAATATTTTCTTTAGAATTATATAAAATTCAATTGGTAATTAATAATATAATTTATGAATATTTTTGTTTTAGGATTTGCAAAAAGGAAAACTACAATTTAACATCTTTTATTTTATTTTATTTTTTACACAAAATTTAAAATTAATATTTTTAAATTCGTTTTTATTATTTTAAATATTTTGTTTAGGATTCGTGAAAAATTAAAATTACAATTAAACACTTTTAAGTTCTTCTTTCTACTTTTAAACAATTTTTAAAGTTAATATCTTCAAATTTTGTTTTTATTATATTAGTCTATTTATATTAAAAATAATCATCAGTTTGAGAAGAAAAGAAAATATAAAAATATTTGAAAGAATTATCTTACAATTTTTTTTTTGTTTAGGATTTGAAAAAAAAAAGAATACTACTATTAAACTCTCGTTTATATTTTTATTATGTTCAAGATTTAAGAAAAAGACAATTACTATAAAATAGTTCGCATAAATAATATTTTTCAAATACATTTTATTCGGAATTTTGGAAAAGGAGAAGTAGTATCAAATAAATTATTTTGAAAATATTTATTTGTTTGAAATTTTTTAAAAGAAAATATTTTTAAAATATTGCTATAAAAAATTTTAAAACATTATTTATATGTGTAAAATCATTTTCATTTTCTTTGTATGTATATTTTGTTAATATTATATATTTTTACATATATAAAATTATAATAGGAAAATTATTATCAAATAAATGTTCTTAGAATTTTAGAAAAGGAAAATTGATAATAATCTATTTTAAGAATATTTTGTTGATTTGGATTTGTAAAAATGGAAAAATACAATTAAGAACTCTTTGTTGTATTTTACTTTAAACAATATTTAAATTTATTATTTTAAAATTTAGTTTTTATTGTTATTTTAAATCTTTGTGTTTAGGATTTGTAAAAAGGAAAAATACAATTAATAACTTTTAGATTTTTTTTCTTTTAATTTTAAATAATTTTTAAAACTAACATCTTCAAAATAATATTTTATTAACTTAGTATATATATTTTAATCATGAGAATTTTAATACATGACACAATATTAAATGGAAAATTACTATTAAATATTTTTTTGTATATATCATTTATTTAGGATTTGAAAAATGGAAAATTACTATTACATAATATTTCTAATTATTTTTAACAAAATTTTATATATATATATATATATTAATTATGAAATAGTTTAACACATGTCACAATTATAAATATATACTTGGCATGTGTCACAATCTTATTAATTAGTAACTTTGAAGATCCATGTGTTAAAATTTATAATTTACTTTGATAAAAACAAAAAGAGTAGACAGGGAACGTATTAGACAAAAGAAGCCAAATCTTCTTGTTTGCTTCAGAAGAGATGACAGGTTATTTGTTTTCTCGATTCCACAAGACCACCAGTCTTCAAACGAGCCTCATTCAATTGATTCTCAGCCTATTAACAGTTATTATAACAGTTATTATATGGTATCTGTCCACGGATTGATCTGCTGCTTTCAAGAAGCAAAAAAAAAAAAACTCATAATTTGGAACCTAAAACGAGAAACTTGTACACCCTAACCAAACTTAGGGATTTAGAAAAGTCAAGACTTGATATGAATGGGAAAAGAACGAAGCAAATGTATGGGCAGAGGGAAATGGTGGAGACTGAACGTCATGCTTGCTTTATTTGGCATACAAGCAAATGCTATTTTCTTCTTACTCAATAAGTTGAAATGTTGACTGTACTAATACAAACATAAGTATTGTCTCGTTGTATGATTTTTTTTTTTTCAATTTTACTCTCTCTATCTACCTACATGATGCATTTTTTGTGTTGGACTAGAACACATAGAAATATTGATTATAATTGCATGTTTTTTTATCTTTTAATAATTTTTAATCAATAGTATTTGAATAAGTGTAATTGATGTTTTGAAGTTTACAGTTTACTATTGTTAACTATTAAAAGTTGCATATAAAAAGTAAAACATATACTTCTTCTGTTTTTAGGGAAATTTTCACTTTTACCATTTAATTTTGGTGATACCATAGTTTACAGTTTACTATTGTTAACTATTAAAAGTTGCATATAAAAAGTAAAACATATACTTCTTCTGTTTTTAGGGAAATTTTCACTTTTACCATTTAATTTTGGTGATACCATTATTCATGTTTTCACCAACAAAATGTTATTTTCAAAAGTACCTTCTTCACTAAATGACAAAAAAAAACTCTTTTTTTTTTTGAGCAACAAGATTCATTAATTAAAAAAGGGCAAATCAGAAAGACTGGCCCAAAGCTAAATGGGTTGAAAGGCATGCCTTTGCAAGCCCATCAGCAGGAACATTGAAGTTTCGTGAGATGAAAACAAAGCGACAAGAAACAAACGGCCAAGAAACAGAGAAAGAGAGATCGTCGATATCCGATAGAACGCCGTATGAAAACAAAGCGACAAAAAAAACTCTTATACCCTCTTAAGACCGCTCTTTAATTTTGTAGTGTGAGGCCTTGTATGCCACATATTGCATATAATTAAGAGAAATCATTTTGACCTTGTACGTTGTAACTGAGAGATAAAATCATAAAAATGAAAAAGCGACACTAAAAAGTTTATGGAAGTGCGTATTGGCAAGAGGTGAAACGGCGCACGTGTAATATATTCCACTAACTAAAAGCCACTGATACATAAATAGAGCAAAATAGTGTATGAAATTTCTATAGGTGATCATCATTATCAGCTTTAATGAATATGTTAGTGCTTGTAGAGGACTATATTGCGTATTCATGTCGACCAAGGACATAATGAATATGTTAGTGCTTGTAGAGGACTATATTGCGTATTCATGTCGACCAAGGGGCCTCTAGACGCGTTTACGAGTCTTGAGTGGATTTTCAATCTTTATCATGAATATCGGATTGAAGGACGCATGTTTGTGTCTGTTGATGGAGGTTTTGCTATAAATAAGGTTTCTCGCCAAGGTATACTCAAATAAGTAGTTCTAATCGATCATAGATTGTTTGGGAATCTATCTTAATTGAGTGAGTTTCGTGTGTGTATATTAACTTATTAAGAGCGTGAAAGAGAGAGAAAAGAGAGACTATGGGGATGTTTTTGAGAAGGGGCTCAATAGTGGCGTGTGTGTTTATGTTACTGATGTCGACTCAAGTGTTGGGAAAATTATCTAGCATAGATGATCATGCCAATAGCAAACACCGACATCACAATAACAAAAGACACGGTGCTGGTGGAGGTGCTAGAGGTAGTATTGGAGCAGGAGGTAGTGCTGGCGGTGGTGGTAGTGCTGGTGGAGGTGGTGGTATTGGATCAGGAGGAGGAATTGGTGGTGGAGGAGGTGAAAGTGGCAGTGCTGGTGGTAGTGGAGGAAGCTGTGCGGGTGGTCATGGTAGTGGTGGACGTGGTGGTGGTGGTGCTGGTGGAGGTGTAGGTGGTGGCGTTGGAGTTGGTGGTAGTGTAGGTGGAGGTGCTAGTGGAGGTGGAGGCGGCAGTGTTGGTGGAGGAGGACGTGGTGGTGGACGGGGTAGTGGCAGATCTGGTGGTGCTGGTGGAAGTATTGGTGGTGGAGGTGGTGCTGGAGGAGGTGTTGGTGGTTCAGTTGGAGGTGGTGGAGGTGCCGGGGGCGGAGTAGGTGGTGGTGCTGGTGGTTTTGGTGGAGGTGGTGTTGGAGGTGGAGCAGGTGGCTCTGGTGGAGGTGGTGCTGGAGGTGGAGTAGGTGGTGGTGCAGGTGGTGGTGCTGGTGGCTTTGGTGGAGGTGGTGTTGGAGGTGGAGTAGGTGGTGGCGTTGGAGTTGGTGGTAGTGTAGGTGGAGGTGGAGGCGGCAGTGTTGGTGGAGGAGGACAGGGTAGTGGCGGATCTGGTGGTGCTGGTGGAACTATTGGTGGTGGAGGTGGTGCTGGAGGAGGTGTTGGTGGTTCGGTTGGAGGTGCTGGAG